CCATTGCCTGTGCACCATCGACATCGAATTTCCTGCCAATATCAACTTCCACTCTAACACGTTGCCGTACCCATGACCCGTCAGCATAACCTCGAAAATAAAAGATGACAGCGTCAGCTTACCTTTTGCAGTATCCTGATTCCGCGCAGCACGTCATCACACACTTGGTACCCCATTTGTGGGGTTTATCCTTCAAGTATTGACGAGTCGGATTCTGGTGGTTCGTCGATGGCAGCATACCTTCGTCAATAGCCACACGAGTAGCGCATTCCCTGCTCCTAGCACTGGATCCCCCGTCCCCACAAGCATGGCCGAGAACGTAGCCTTCTTTGAATGCCGTCTCCACCGTTGACAAGGCTGGTTTGATTTTCCATGCACGGTCACTAGCTGCTCCAGGGTCCTTATTGTCCGAGAAATGAAGAAATCTCGTAATGTCTCGAAACCGATCTCGTGACATCACTTTGCCGAATGTTCCAGCGGGAATCAGGCCGTCTTCAGCTGTAGACCAGTGCATCTCAAAACTCTTACGCGGATTCAAAGTGTGCGCTAATATCAAACCAATCCATTGAACAATTTCATGCGGCGCAATCCTCTCAAATCGCTTCAACTTTCTGCGCAACTTGTCTATACTCTTTTGTGGTCGATGGGTCACTTGTGCCTCTTTCGCGACAACCTTTTTCAGGCGAGCGTCAAACGTCTGCTCCCAGTAGCGATGTGTCTCGCGCGCAACGTGCCTCCAGAACGCCCTCGGCAGGAAGTAGAAGAACAGGGAAAGTGGTGATTTGGCCGATGCCAAGACATCTTTCGACGGTCCACAGTAACCTTCGTACATTTTGTCAACTTCCGGGTCGTCGACAATGTCCGCAACCTCATTTTCAGGGTACACGGTCCATCCTTGAGCCGCCATATCAGCTAATTGGTTGTCGTGGAGGACTTCGGATGACCCTGTCAGCATAAATATAAATTAATAAACTTACTTTGTCATCACAACACACAGCGTCTTTCAACATACCTTCCACTGCCCTATGTAGCCGTTCCAACTCGGCCTCGTTCAACAAATCGGCAATTCGCCTTGATTCGGCAACAACCGATTCGTCAACAAGAGATTCGTCTTCATCGTCTGTGTCCAGCATATCTGCAACACCGACTGAGTCTTCGCCCTCTCCATCCGACTCGATGCTCTTCTCGACCTCGCCGAGGACGAGATTAGGATCACTTGGGCTCTGCGTCAGCAAACCCAAGGTGCTCGAAATGAGTCTCTACAGCAGCTGGAACCCGAAGCGAAGCGACTTCTGTGTCCACTCCACCCTCATTATCCTCTCGATCATCACGTTCGGCTACTGAATTCTGCGCAACTTCTTCGTCTTCATCATCCCCTTCCGATTCAACAGCGTTTGGGTCGTCTTCGTATTCACTTTCCGAGCCATCACCCGAGTGACCGTCAACGTCGTTTAGGGTCGGGGGTTGACTTGGTCAGCATTACCTGAAAACCATTTGTGTTCTTGTCAGCATTGTATTCAAGTCAGCATATGCGCAAAACCACATACCTTCCGTGTCAGCATTAAGGTGGTGTTCTGGTTCGGCGGCAGGTTGATCCGGAGCCTCTACCTCTTTGCCGTCCCTGTCTAAACATTCTCCAAGTTAGAGCTAACTGTAGACACCACACATCAACATACGAACATACCTTGAGCATTGGCACCACCCCAAATGTTTGCGAACGAAGGCAACCGGCGGCGTCGCTCTGTGGCTTCTTCTGCTTCTTGCTTTTTCGTATTCTTCATCTTATTGGGCGTTTGCCGTTTTTCACTCTTCTTGTCTGCAGAGCTACAAGGCCCCACCGTCTTTGAACGTTTCTTCGGTGGCTGTTCCCTGCTTGTAGTATCTGCTCTCTTGGCTGAGGTCTTTGGTGTACTTGAGACCGAAGATGGTAAAGGCTCTGCACCAAAAACACACAAAACGTCATCATAAAGCACGAAACATGTTTGAAGTGCGCATACGCTTACCGAGTGGAGCTGCATTGGGACGCACCATGATGTTGGTGAGATTGAGGCGGACGCACAGGTCCTTGTCCGCCTTTACGTGCGCAAGCAACGCATCTTCGCCGTTGAAGAAGTCCACTCCCTGCTTGCCGCCCCGAATCTTGCAGCCAGGCTTCAAATAGCTCGAGCTACAGCAATATATAATCAAAGTTAGTAGGGATAACCGCATCAATATCATAACGCTTACTGTATCTGTAACCCTTTTGCTGGTTTCCATGTCCACCCTTCCTTGCGCAGTAGCGGCCACACAACTTTGAAATCCACAACGTACTCCATTTGCTGTATGGGGCTCGGAATGAAGAATGAGTGGTGACCACGAAAGGGGAACCGAAATTTGATATTTTGGAAAAATATATAGTCCGGCTCTTACCTGCGGTACTTCGGTACTTCAATCCGGCTGTAAATGTTATCCAATAGAATTCGTTGCTTTCAAAACGTGGACCAATCAAAACCTTTTCAATTTGGGAAGTGTCGACGATGGCAGTTTGCGGATTTCAAGCCATAGTGAAATCAAGTGTTTCTTATGCTGTTCGGAACAGCATAAGACATTATTGCAAGTCTCCGCGTTCAAGGGGTTAATTTAGCGTGAGCAGAAGCAATAACAAACTTATACGTATACAGCTCCGTATCAGCGATAATTCTCCCGTGAAAAAATGGCGGCGAATTATAATATGCTAAAACTCACCCAAAAACTACCGAGATCCCGAGAAAAAATACAACCGTCTACCTTGGCCAAGTTGTGCTGGTGACGTTATCGACGACAACAACACAAGATGCCAGCATTCGTGTCCGTGCAACTGGCCCCCGCAAGATAGATTTCGCGCTCGACCACACTTTGCATATTTCCAATAACTTTGTCATCCAAGACTTTATCGTCGTCTCCCCTACTTTATCTAATTCTCCAAACACAAAAATCTGCTTTGCACGCGTGACCCCCCCGGACCACTCGGTCCCGGTTCCCCAATTGAGTTGTGTATTCTCTGAACGCGAGGTCGGCTCGCTAAAACAACGATTTGGTTGTTTACAAAACTAAACTGATCAACTCCGTACGATAAGCACATAATATGTTATAAAAGTGATATGGTGGTCTAATCAGTTGTAGTGAAGTTTGGCGATTTTTAATAGGTTACACGAAAAAGACTCACAGCGATTACATGTGTCGTTTTGGTCAATTTGTTAAAATAATAATTTCTTTACGTCAGTATTTGCTAGAAGTAGACAGGGCTTAAAACCAGCCGAGAAATAGCGAGTATAAATAAGGATACACTTCTTTCAATAACACCACTATTATCTCAACGACATGACGCTCCGGGTACGTCTTCCGGGCTGTTTATAGGCTTTCATTTTCTTTTTAAGATCGTAAACAGCCTTACGATGACGATAGCCCCCAATATAAACGGCAAACCAGAATCTTGTATCTTCACGAATTGCTTTATGGAATTTTCTTAAGCTTCTTGAATTGTTGAATCAGTTCATCGGCGTCTTTCACGTGACTGAACCTCCTTTGAAGATCCGTAAGTTTCTCATCTGAATCGATCCATCTGGCTACCATCGCATCCTTCAAGTCACGAACTTGTTTATCCTTACTGCGGTCGTTCTTCGCGGCACTAAAAATTGACAATAGATTTAAGTCATTGTAGTTCTCCCGGAGGCTATCGTACATGGTCGTTTTGTTCTTGGGGTAGCGCTTATTGAAGGTTTCCAGATACTGGGTCCATAATCCAAATTTTGGTATCGTGAGGAGATGCTCAGTTGGCTTTTCGCGGAAGATATCACGAAAGACAGTACCTGGAGATTTCCCCCGATCTAGCCAGTGTTTGTGAAGCGCACTCTCCGCCTCTGTGCCTATCCCCACCGTGCGTGGGTTTTGTTTCGCAGTCTCGATCATCCTCTCAATGTGTTGATAATTAATACGAAGCGGTTCAAACCAGGATTCCACCTTCTTCGGGTTCGCCTTATTGAAACTTTTCACGTATTCCTTCCACCTTTTCAGCACTTGGGAGCTGAGAACGCTATCACCCACGGTGTCAAGTCCCAGGAGATAAAATGAATCCTTAGGGGACATCTTGCTCTCGAAAATACTCTGCATCTTCGCTATCTGTAATTTTGTTGCAGCGCTTTCCATACTGGAAAATTTCGTGGCTTTTTCAAGAATTTGAAGCAGGGGGCGGTCGGTGAAGCGAGACTCCAACGTTGAGAACAGTATCGACATTTTGCTGGGACTGTTGGTGACCACGGTATCCATGTACGAGACCCACGTTTCGAGAAGTGGGTTGTGGGAGAAGTCACTCCTCCATATGCTTAGCTCTAACAGCTCGTAAATGTCGTCGGTAGACTTCCCATCTCTCAGCCACATTTCCAGCTGCGCAGATTCCAGTTTCAAGGCGATATTTTTGGTCGTATCTTCCGACGTTTTGGCTGCGTTGATCGCCTCTGCTACCCGTTTATCGCGAAACTTTCGCGTTAAAACTTCGATCATTGACGTTTCGCCACCTCTGTATCTCGAGTTGTAAGCATCTATGTACTTCGTCCAAGTATTCAGCCGCGGGCTTTCTAGAATTCTTTCCATCGTATCACCCAGTTTAAGCTTTAGCAAAATATCTTCGGGTGCTTTCCGACTGTTCAACCAAACTTGAGCCATGTCATCTTCCACCTTGTTTTCATCATTCCGTTCGTTCTTAGAGCCGCCTCTAGCTTTGTAAGTATCTGATCATCTTGAAAATATTTTTGCAGTGTCGGCATCATGTACATAGGGTTCTCCGGGTTTTTAGCGCTCACATCATCTACGTAGGGAGACCCACTCGCTAAAAATTTAGACCCTGTCATTGAACATAGGTCTCGCTTTGCTATGTCTAGTCCGAAACAAACGGAATACCTTCGTCAGGGGTCTTTCCGAAATAGTGACCCAGTACTGCACTAGTTCGGTTTCCAATCTCGTGGCAATGTCCTTCGTTTGTGGGATCATTTTAGCAGACTTTGATCACCCCTATACAATTTGTCGTCTCCGAGCTGGCGAGTAAGCGTTGGGATCGCTGCTGAGAGTGTTTGACCGGTCTTGGCGCTTAAAGGGTCAGCATATTGAAGCCATGTACTGAACTGGGGTGCTTGCAGCACCCAGTCGTCTGCCTTGTGCAGGTGCATGCGCATAAACACCGTGTCTGCGGGTTTTTCGCTGTTCAGCCAACTTTGAAGTTTTTCTGGGGTCACATTCGAAGACTTGAACAAAGATTTCAGCCTTTCTGTTATAGACACGGAAAGGCCGGTCCTCGATTCGTTGCCAGCGTCGTCGGCGCCGTCGCTTCTTAGCAACTTTCTGCCGCTGACAACGTTTTCATTCATCTCGAGATACGCTTCCCAGCTAGTAGGATTTGGTAAATGCACGTTTGATCCTGCTGCGCATACGAAACAAAAGTTTAAAGCCAACCCTGTAATCAAGTGTCGACGCATTTGTAGTTGGAAGTCAGTTGGATAATGAGTGCCGCCATACACCCACCGTCACGGTCTTGAATCAAGTTCGCAATCAAAATGTAGGTCAGCCAGGGGTTAATGGTAACTCCAAAATCGGTGAAGTTAATATTGTAAAAATATCACCTGTAGACCAGCTAATATAAAAAAGATTACCTAATGTTTTCTTCTGAGACAATATGATATTACTAAATATCAACTTAATATTAGTTAATACGATATTATATTTTTTAAAGATTGCGTAATCAGGCTAAATTAACCAATCATATGTCGTTAACGCTCGACTAGCTGAAGTATTACTAATCAACCGTGAAGGAGGGACAATTGTGAGAGTGGCGGCAAGGTTGGCGTCGTGTGTTGGCACTGCTGAGCGCATTAATCTAGCGCCACAGGCAGCAGGTTTATTAGACGCACGATGTGGACGAGGAGATCGGTAGAGAACAAGAACAAATGTCTTGATTTCGCTCTATCATCGTTAAACAGCTGCAAGCGCTTGCAGTTTTCCATCTCGATCGTCTTTGTCTGTCACAGTGAAATACAAGAGCAAATACTCGTCAGTCTTAAAGCCTACTGCTTTTCTAGAACCTGATCAAAAAAGGTTTTTGGCTCCGCTCGGTCCACAGGGTAAGGTGGCAAGAAACGTACTTAAGTGGGAATATATCATAAAATATTATGTAGTACCTAATATTTTTCAGCTCTCCAAGGTAATATTAAAATATTATGTTAGCTTTTGCAAAAAATGAGTTACTATTACTATTTAATATCAAAGTAGTACTATTACTATCAAAAATATCATATGATATTTGGTTACCATTAGCCCCTGAGGTCAGCATGCATTTGGCAGTTTATTGCATGCTGACCTACATTTTACGTACAGATCGCAATCATCATATTATGTAATCTTTATTTCTTAGTACACTGTATGCAGGGGTTAATGGTAACCAAATATCATATGATACTTTTTGATATTAATAGTACTATTTTCGATATTAAAAATCAATAGTAACTCATTTTTCAAAAGCAAACGTAATATTTTGATATTAACTCGGAGATTTGAAAAATATTAGATACTATATGATATTTTATAATATTTTCCCACTTAAGTACGTTTCTTGCCACCTTCCTCTGTGAACCAAGATTCACCAAAGAACTATTTCGGTCAGGTTCTAGAACAGCAATAGGCTTTAAGACTGATGAGTATCTGCTCTAGTATTTCACTGTGACACAGATAAAGGCGATCGAAATGAAAAACAGCAAGCGCTTGCAGTTGTTTAATGTCGATAGAGCAAAATTAAGGCATTTGTTCTTGTTCTCTAGCGATAGCCCCGTTCACATCGTGCATCTAATAAACTTACAGCCTGTAGCGCCAGATTAATGCGCTCAGCAGTGCCAAGCACTGGCACTGCCAACACACGACGTCAACCTTGCCGTCTCTGTCACAATTGTCCAGACTCCATGTTGATTAGTAATACTTCAGCTAGTCAACGTTAACGATATCTGGTTGGTTAATTTAGCCCGATTACGCAAGCTTTGCCAAGCAAACGTATTGCTTGGCTGACAAAAGGTCGTCTACAGCTACTGTTTGTGAAGTCTCGTGGTAGATACCGCTTGAAGACAACTGCTAGTGCAATTTATCATGTTCCAGCAGTGAACCAGCGTGACCGTAGAGAAGCTGCAACGTCGCTTATACGTTGGCATCTCCGGTTTGCACATCTAAACCTCCCAGCTCTACAGCAAATGGCAAAACAGCAAGTTACAACCGGAATGGAAGAGAACTTGAATGATGATGCTGAAATTCCTTGTTGGAGCTGCAAGTCGGCGAAGATGACTCGGATGTCATACAAGAAGACCTTGACTCGCCGTGCTACCAAGCCTTATCAGAAGCTGATGTCTGATATGTGTTACGTTGGTATTGCGACCTATGATGGATACATGCACTTCCAACTGGTGCAAGATGAGGCCACGCGATATCTATGGGGCTTCTTGCTAAAGAGGAAGGAAGATGCAACTGAAGCAGTTATAGCCCACGTGAATTGACTTTTGTCTCAAGGACACAAGATACAAGTGTTCAATTCAGATCAAGGCCGTGAACTCCTGAACAAGAAGCTGCGTTTGTTTCTTCGTAGTCATGGTGTCGAGTACACATGGACCAATGCTTACAGTCCGGAGGAGAACGGATTGGTGGAGAGAATGAGCGGAGTTATTATGGCGAGAGTGCGTTGTCTACTTACAACTGCAGATATGCCGTATCTCTTGTGGGGTGAAGCCTTCAGCTTTGCGATTGAAGTGGGTAACATTTGTGCTTCGAGTGCTTTGAATGGAGAGACGCCATACTTTCGACGCTTTGAAGAGCGGCCGGATGTATCTGCGTTGCGTACATGGGGTTGTTTGACTTACGTTTTCACACCAAAGATGCTTCGTATGTCGAAACTGGAGAATCCTGGCAAACCTGCATTGTTCATGGGGTACGCCAAGCACTCAGAAAGTTATCGTGTGTTGAGTTTGGTAACTGGTAATATTCAAGAGGTTCGTTCTGTGGACTTTCATGAAGACTGGACGGTGGAACGCAGCTACGTAGAAGGCTTGCTGAACAATCGCTACAATAAAGGGCATCAAGTGCTACCAGCGATTATTCCATTTGTCCGTTTACCAGTGCTGTCGTCTACGACGAAAGATTCGTCGATCCACGATGAAGTTCGTACAAAACGACGCCATTGCGATGGTGGTATTGGTTATACTAATTCTCATTACACTGAGGTGCGGTCTTCTCCGGCATGTCCAGATGCGCCTGACAGGCTGCCGTTGATTGAGGCTGAGATGTTTCCTGTTGCGACAGGAGATCAGTTTTAACAGCGTGAAGCTAACTCTTCTCGTGTAAAGTGGACTGATAGTGAAGGTCAAGAAGGTGATACAGACATGAATTTGCCTAACAGCGATTCAGTGGCTGAGCCTCCTGTGGCTTCACACACATCACCTTCAGTGGGGAAAGAGAGGGTAGTCACTGATGCAGACGTTGAGTATGATGATATGGAGGACAAGGAACCAATTGCGATTGGTGATCCGTCTAGTCCAGTGGATAAAGTTGATGATGCGATCAGAGACAGCGAGAGTGAAGATGATGTTATGATGAATGACACAACGGAGTCGTTTCGGCGCTCACATCGCACGCGCTGGCCTAGCTCACGCTACAAGGACTTTGAAGTGGAGCTTCCACTCAGTTTGATGATTGAGGCCGTTAACTCAATTATGGAACCACAAACGCTGGAAGAACCGTTGTCTGCTGATGCAGATCAGTGGATCCAAGCACTGAAGAAAGAATATGGAGACCTAATGAGAAATAATACTTGGGAACTAGTGGAGGGACCAAAGGGCAAGAAGGTGCTGACAAGTCGATGGGTGTTTGTGCGAAAACGCGATGCTCACGGAAACTATGTTCGCCACCGTGCCAGAATCACTATCAAAGGGTGTCAACAACGATATGGGGTGAACTTCTGGGAGACATACTCTCCAGTTGTCGCACAAGAGGCTGTAAAGTTTATCCTACCATTGGCACTTCATTTGGGGCTCTCTTGTCGTCATGTGAACTTCGTGACAGCATTCTTGAATGGACCGATTGGTGACGTTGATATTTACATGGAAATGCCAGAATATTTTGATGATGGATCCGATCGAGTTTGTAAGTTGCTGAGGAGTTTATATGGATTGAAGCAGGCGCCAATGATATGGTACCAGACACTGGACAAGTATTTGAGGTCGCTAGGCTTTCGTCGATCGAAGATGGATGGAGGCATTTAAGTTCGTTCAGTGGGAGGCAGCCCAATACTTGTGTCAGTTTATATCGATGATTTGATTATCGCTGGCACTGAGGAGAATATTGAGTTGGTGCTTCGAGAACTTCAAGCCAAGTTTAAGATTAAGGACTGTTGCATATGGAGATTTCATATGTTCCAGGTGATGTTTTGTGGATGTCTCAAGGTGGCTACATTGATAAGGTGCTGAAACGCTTTGGTATGGAAGATTGTCGGCCAGTGGCTACACCACAAGCTACAGGAAATTTACCTGATACTGTAGATGATGATGAACCTGGAGTTAACGATCCGAGTATACCCTATCGTGAGTTGGTAGGATCTCTTCAATACTTGGTGCAAGGCACTCGCCCTGAGCTAGCAAATGCTGTGCGAACTCTAGGGAAGTATTTGAATAGGTATACTAAGGAACACTTTGTGATGGCGAAACGAGTACTGCGTTACTTACGAGGCACTCGTGACTATGGGCTTTTGTGGAAGCAACCTGCAAACTCGGATTTGCATTTCACAGCTTATGCGTGATGCTGATCTTGGAAGTGAAAAAGATGATCGCAGATCGATCACAGGTTTTGTACTTCAGATGAATGGATGTACTTACGCTTATAAGAGCCACAAGCAGTCGATCACTCAGGATGACACATGCAGTGCTGAGTTCATTGCTGCTGCAGAATGTTCTGTGATGATTGTGTGGACCCATAATCTTTGCGAAGAACTCAAACTTTGTCGTCGTCGTCCAACTGTGCTGTTTCAAGACAATCAGTCGACGATTAAAGTTATTAAATCTACGAAGGGAAACTACAAAGTCAAAGGCGTGGATTTAAAGTATCACAAGGTGAAAGATCTCTATGAACGGGGTGACTTTGATGTACGTTACTGCCCTACGGCCGAAATGCTTGCAGATATTTTTACGAAACCACTTGGATCAACTCAATTTTCCAAGTTGCGCAAGTTACTGAATGTGGTGCCGCTACCATTAATGGAGAGCGATGCTACTGAGGATAACTAAGCTGTCGTTATACGAGGATGGTAGAATGGCGGGATCTTGAAGTGGGAGTGTGGAGATTGGCGTGTCGAGCTCCGCCTGATCACACAGTTCTGAGGAACTTGCTTCTACTGTTACGGTATAGTATACGTGGGACGATCGTATTTTTACGCGACAGTTAGTGTATACTTCGT